TAAATTGCGTGGGTTGACAAGCTGCCAATAATTGCCACGTCACAATTTCGACTATAGCCAAATAATTTTGGTGATAACTTTTCCCCATATGAACAGGCCCTATCAAAGTTTCTTACTTACTTACTTACTTACTTAAAAATTTATTTAACCACGCTGGCCATACACAACATATTTGTAAAAATACAATGAGTTGATTTTCAGATGGGGCTCTTAACTCACATCCTAGTCTCTGGTATAGTGGGCATACTGCATTTTAATCCATACTGCATTTTAATTTCCTCAGAAGGAAAACTATTCCACAGCATTGCACCACTATACTTAAAACTTCGTTTAAGGTAGTTTGTTTTAGGTTTTGGAAGTGCTAGATTAGTATCATTACTTCGAAGATTATATTCTCTATTAAGATCTTTAATTTTTATAAATTTTTCTCTAAGACTTGGTATGCCACTCTCTCGGTCTAAGCAATGCTTGTACGTGCAACAGTGTTTTCTAGCACTGCTGGTTCTTGGTATGGACTGTGGAGACTGTCTTATCCTGTTGATATAATAACTCGTATTTTTTCAGATGCCAACTGATGCTTGGTACTTGTACAAAAGGTCGTCAGCAGACAATGGAACCGTTGAAAGTTTGAAACAAATCGGTGCTTCCCCTGAATGCACATCTGATGCTCAGGAACTGCAATGTGTTGCTGTTTACTGCTCCGAAGATGAGAAATATCTGCTCACGGAATACACTAAAGCTGACTGTGAGAACACCACAAAACGCTGGTAAGCAGCGTGGGATGGAACGGGGTTATAATCGCGCGCATCGTCATTATCATTACCGTTATCATGAACATTACCATCATAATCACCATCATCATTATCACCACCATTATCATCATCACCATGCACCATCATTACCATTACCTCCATTTTCACGATCATAGCATTGTCTAACTTTTATTCAAGTTAGACTTGTATAATGCAGTGAGCCAATAATAGGTTTTGAAATTAATTGAAAGCCTCGGATTGATAGGCATAAAACTACCTGAAAATACAAGAAGTAGTTTGACGTTTCAAGCGTAGGCCCTTTGTCGGGAAGTTAGTGGCGGCGAAAGAGCCCGACACTCGAAGTTCTTGTGTTTTTCAAGTTGTTGAATCCTTATCAATCCGAAGCCCTGACACAAATGTATTTTATTCAAATACAAATATTGAAGAAGTTGAAAACGTTATGAATATAGAAATTGAAAAAATATTTCGTTACTGTGCTACAAATAAGCTTTCAATTAATTTGGAAAAGACAAATTTTATGGTTATCACTAACTCAAAAAAGAAAGCTAGAAATATACGGATTAAAAACATTGTTAAAAGAGACTTTATTAAATATCTTGGTATATATATTGATAATAATCTAAATTGGGAGTATCAGATCAAACACGTAAATAGTAAAATTGCTAAAAACACTGGAATAATGAATAAACTCAGATATTACCTAGATTTGAAAATGCTTAAACATTTATATTACACTCTAATTTACCCATACATTAATTATGGACTGATGAGTTGGGGTAACACCTATGCAACAAAGCTTAATAAAGTACGAACATGTCAAAATAAATGTATAAAGAATATGTTTTTTGCATCCAAAAAAGAAAGTGCAACATTATACATGAATTTACTTTCCATACTAAAGCTAGACAACGCTTTTAAATTGAAAATAGCCACATTTACATACAAAATTATAAACGAAGATAAAAATATCCCTAGGATATTTACAAATATCATTTCCACTGCATCTACTCAGCACTCTTATTCTACTAGATTTGCTGAAAAACAAAATTTTATTAGGTCGAATGCTCGAACAAATTATGGAATCTTTACTTTCAGATTTATTTCATCAAAAATTTGGGAGACAATTCCTTACCATATAAAAGAGTCAAATTCAGTTTCTGTTTTTAAAAATAGGTATAGTCAATTCCTTATTTATTCCCAAATATAAATACCTACACAGTTCTGTTATGTCGCCGTCATATACTTTTATATAATAGTATGATACATATATACAGTGATCAACTCGAAAGCATTCCGCTATTTTGATCACTGTACACGTTTGTTTAATATAGCAGTTTTAATATGTGGGCTTTGATTTTTGTAACTATATAAATTTTCTGTATGTTATTCTTACTTAGTTTAAATACGTGTGAAATAAATGTGATTCTGATTCTATTATTGACACTATTGTTCATTGTGTTTGTAGTCTTATTGATCCTATCGAAGCATTAATAAAGGCAGTCCCGTTCCTTGAAACGCAACTCCGTCCTTCCATAGAAAATCTTGAAGAAACATGCGCGGTTTATCCAGCTGATTCCAACAAGCAAACACCACCACCAACAGTAGGAACACTGCGTCCTGGTGCCACCGTCAAGATAGTCAAAGTAGGACCAACTGGTTCTGGTGCCACCGTCAAGACAGTCAAAGTAGGACCAACTGGTTCTGGTGCCACCGTCAAGACAGTCAAAGTAGGACCAACTGGTTCTGGTGCCACCGTCAAGACAGTCAAAGTAGGACCAACAGGTTCTGGTGCCACCGTCAAGACAGTCAAAGTAGGACCAACTGATTCTGGCAACATTCAGTTGGTTGATTGCGTTGCCTTGCTATTCAGCTTCATTGTTGTGAAACTGTTTGCCTGAAAAACTTGATGTCTTGCTCATGCAGTGTGCTGTGTTGGGTTTCTAGCTTTACACTTTATTTTGCGGTAAACTATTTTTTCACTAGGAAACATCTACACAGGCTACAAACCGTCGAGTAATTACAGGGCATTATCATTGAATATTTCTGACAATAGTGGACAACAGTGCAGGCTAGATATTTCATCACTTGTGTTTTTATTTTATTTGGCAACAAAAATAGATTACACTACATTTTGTTTTGTTTTTAACTAAGCCACAAGAATTTTACGTACATGTAATTTACATACCTTTATACACTACATGAACCACGGGAAATCACAAGCATGGTGTGTGAAAGGGGGGAGGGGGGTGTAAACGATAAATTCTTATAATTCAGAATCCTTATCCAAAACAAATTTTGAAGTTGCGATACACAAACAAATTGAAGAACAGAGCGTCAAGGTCCGATTCCAAGAGCGCTTTTTCTCGCCGAAATGCGAAACATTTCGCACGAATCGTGCATGCGCAGATAAATTTAGATAAATGAGGCGTGGCGAGAAAAAAAGGATTCCGCCGTGGTGGATCAGATCTTTAAGAGCAAATGTAAGATGCAGAGAAAAAAGCAATATATGACGTGCTATTCTTCGAAACCAAGTTCATGTACGTTAAAATGTTGTTATTTGCTGTTACAAAGTAATAACTTCAGCAAAGTAAGTGAACGCACTAGCATAGTTTCAACTGAAGGTGTACTAAGCACTAAAACCAAGACTAATTACGTGGTCAAAACCCTACTCGCTGCTACAATACTACACAGTTCTAGTAAGTACATCAGACTCATTCCCAGGCCTCTATATATAGAAATTGCGATAAGCGCGCACACAGCATGTTGGGTATAGGGCAAGACGAATTCTTGCTTCCTAACTCAAACGTCCTCACTCAAACGCCTGTGTCCGAACAGTACAACACGACTGAAATGCTTCGCAATGTCCCAACATGAAAATAATGAGTAGAGAAATGTCTTCTAAAACCAAGTCTACGACGTAAAGTAAGTATACCCTACCATAATCAAGATCATGCGTGGTGAGATTACGATTCTTAAACAGACCCAACCACAATTACGCAGTCAAATCGTCAGCCTCAAATTTTTCGTCATCGTAGATTTCAGCTCGGATCGTCTTACCACCAAACCATCGCCCGTTTAGATTTGCAACGGCTAGTTCGACCTCTGTAAAAATATTTATTTTACAGTTTAAAAATTCTATTGGGATTTCTACTGTACAATACTACACACTCAATACAATTATGTTCATAAAACGCTATTAAACTATGACAAAAACAATCCGTGAATGTCAAGCAAAAGACAAACAATATAGATACAGATGACAGTACAGCTTCCCACAGCCGCCATTTTGTTCAAGCGAGCTTGGCCAAACTTAAGGCGGAGTTACACGAGCAACAAAATTGCTGCAACTTGCAACAAAATCTGATTTCAACGCATGTTAATTGAAAATGTTTACACATAAATTACAAATCACAAGGCAACATGTGTCGACGTTTCTACTCAACATGCGTTGAAATCAGATTTTGTTGCAAGTTGCAGCAATTTTGTTGCTCGTGTAACTCCAGCTTTAGGACATTTGTTTACGTTTTTAGCCACGTGATACTACACGTCATTTTAGCGCCGAAAAGGTCAATTATTAGAAGACCCGAAGAACTATATATTGAAAGCACGAATGGCAAGTTGTTATTACATTCTTACAAGGTTGACGACGGTAACAGACTTGCTACAAGTTGTTCCAACAAGACATTTAATACATGCTGTTCACAACAAGTTGCTACGAGCTTGTTGCCATCATCTTGTTAATAACTTGTTGTTATATGTGCAGACCATATCAGACTTGTGGGAACAACTTGTTGCGAGTCTATTGGCCCCATTAAAACTTGTTACAACATGATAACAACTTGTTCCACACTTGCCGACAACTGGGAACAAGCAGTGCGAACACATCTTGTCGAGAAATTGCGAGATTTTCACGCGTGGAGTTTGGTCGTTTCTCTTTTGGGCATCGAGTGGTATTCTTTGGATCGTCCGTCTTCCCTCGCACAGAAAATTCCTTAGGTTTTAGTTGTCGAGCACGTCTATCACGAGCCTCTGGCTCGCGTTAATGGACGATTCTAGCTGTAGACGTAATTTTGATCTAGGCAAGAAAAACGAATTTTTCCCCGCGCGTAATACAAATTAATACAAAATTTGCAAATTTCGCAGGGGTATATCTTCCTCATTTTACAACATTTCGCAACCAAACTTTGCAATTTTACTAA